TGCTTTACATAATCCAGGGCCAGATCATTGATCATAATGCTGAAGAGGGTAGGGCTAATAACAGAGCCTTGCGGAGTGCCATTCTCCAACGAGTGCTTCTCGCTGAGAGAATTGGCGACGTTCACTTGTATCTTGGCAAGAGAATAAAACATAACAAAATATATACCAACATGAAACAATATAGAGATTAAGAGGGACAATAGATAAAAGGGGCAATAACAAGTGATTAAGAGAGACAATAGATAAAAGGGGTAATAACAAGTGATTAAGAGAGACAATAGATAAAAGGGGTAATAACAAGTGATTAAGAGAGACAATAGATAAAAGGGGTAATAACAAGTGATTAAGAGAGACAATAGATAAAAAGGGTAATAACAAGTGATTAAGAGAGACAATAGATAAAAGGGGTAATAACAAGTGATTAAGAGAGACAATAGATAAAAGGGGTAATAACAAGTGATTAAGAGAGACAATAGATAAAAGGGGTAATAACAAGTGATTAAGAGAGACAATAGATAAAAAGGGTAATAACAAGTGATTAAGAGAGACAATAGATAAAAGGGGTAATAACAAGTGATTAAGAGAGACAATAGATAAAAAGGGTAATAACAAGTGATTAAGAGAGACAATAGATAAAAAGGGTAATAACAAGTGATTAAGAGAGACAATAGATAAAAGGGGTAATAACAAGTGATTAAGAGAGACAATAGATAAAAGGGGTAATAACAAGTGATTAAGAGAGACAATAGATAAAAGGGGTAATAACAAGTGATTAAGAGAGACAATAGATAAAAGGGGTAATAACAAGTGATTAAGAGAGACAATAGATAAAAGGGGTAATAACAAGTGATTAAGAGAGACAATAGATAAAAGGGTATAAACAATGCGAAGTCATGAGGAGGTACCGAGCAAACATAAGCTAATGAAAAAGGCACTGGGAGGAGAATGGGAGAATGAAGGGAAGAAACATGTAGAGAGTGGGGGGAGGGGAGGAGAGATTAGTTTAGCCATATCTTGGAAATGTCCATTGTCGCGGTTGATCTCTGGAAAGCGTCTCTAAATATCTAGAGCTTCTCGAATTCGTCGTTGTTGCTTGTTGGGGAGGTTGGAGGCTATGATAGATTGGTCTTGCCATTGGAATTTGTGGTTAGGAAACTTTATGAGGTGTTCAGATAAGGCCGATTTTCCATCTTCATTTTTGGTGGAGGTTACATGTTCTTTCATTCTGGAAACAAACTCATTTAAAGTAATGCAATGTGTTATAACATTTTCTACAGTGAAAAGATCAGCTTTAGAGTGGCAAAACATAGCTTGCAGACAAGATAACATACACTCAGAAATGTCTTTAGTGGTTTAAAAATGATAATTCTTATATTCTTATT